AGGAAGTTCCCCTCTTCCCTAACTCTGCATGGGTAAACACTACCCACATTGAAAACTAATTTATTTATAACCTGCCTCCTTCTAGTAATTATTTAAGGACGCGAAGTCATTACCCTGCAGGGCCTCCCCAGCTTACCTTCTATTTCCTCCTAGATGCTTCCTTGCACACCACCCCCAACCCGGTTCCAAGCAGAGGGAACGTGTCACTTCCTCCTCTTACCCCTACTGAACTTTGTTTTCTAAGACTACTGGGACGCCTCTCTTGGTCTGTCTTGTATTATCATTACTATTTCCACCGACTGGCACCTACTGTACCTGACTGGGCTCTTTTCAGGAATAAGCACCATCTCTGATTTATCTTTATGTTTATAGAGCCCAGCTTGGTGCCAGGCATGTAGTAAGTGCTCAATAAATGTTTTCTGAGTGACTGGAGCCAAGGAAGCTGCCTGCTCTCTCCCCTGGTCCTGGGGAGCCTGTCATGAGGAGAGAGAGTCAGCCCCACTAACTAGGGCTAGATGTGGCACAGGTTCCTGGGCCAGGAACACCTCCGGCACCTAGGCTCTTACAGTTGGGCCAGTCTACTGACTGATGGGGACCTCTGCCAGGGGCCAGGTAACCATCACCCAGACTGAAAAATCCCAGCCCGGAGCTGGGCAGAGGTCGTGACCAGGCACAAGGATGGCATGAGTGCCCTGGTGCCCAGCATACCAGGTCGATGGTGTCCATGGCAGAGGGGAGGGGCCTGAGGACTCCCTGTTCCCAAGGCCCAGCTGCCTGACTCTGCTCTTGCCTGCTCTTCCCCGAACTCCCCAAAATAGCCCAAGTTTATTTTATCCCCTCCCCCACTTTACACCCAACCCCAAACGGTGACAGAAACACCTCATCATCCAGAGACAAATGTTCAGGAGGCAAATGCTGGGCTGTTAGAACCAGAGAAGAAAACACAAAACCAACCCAGGAGGACACAGAGGCTGCCTCAGCGCAGGTGCTGGGCCTGACACTCCTCTTACTCCCTCTGGGGGCTTGGGGGGGGCAGGGCAGCCAGCACCTGGGCTGGCTTGCTGGCTCTCCCTAGCCCAGAGGGCAAGGGATCAGTGAGTCCTGCCCTCATTCTGAAACCTGCCATGCCCATGGACCAGCCGGTCCCAGGTAACGCCCGGGCTAAGAAGCCGGGGACCTTCAGCAGGGGCAAGAGAACTGAGTTCCGCATTTCCTTTCTAGAAGGCTTCGGGTCAGTCTTCTGCCTGGGCCAGGGACGCCTAGTCTCCTTTATTTTTGTCCTATAAAAGTCCTACAGTGAGAGAAAAGAGAGTGAGCAAGCTCAGATGTGAGCAGTTCCGGGGATGGAAGCTTTAGTTCGGAGAGAGGAGAGGGAAGAGCAGAAGGAAGGGGCAGAGGACAGCAGAGGGCCCTCTGAGCCCTCCTAAGTCAGGCCTCCAGGCGGAAGCCGGGCAGCGGTGGGCGCGGGCGCAGTGGTAGAAGCGGGCGTGGATTCGTGAGATCTGGCTTTGGATACTAGTTTACCACCAGCTGAGTGACTTTGAGCAAGCCCCTCTGGGCCTAAGTTTCATTCTCTGTAAACTGATAATCCCTGCCTCACACGGGCCAGATGAGGTATTAGAAGAAAGCAGAGGTGACACCTGACGCATAGCAGATGCTTAATCGATATGAAAACGCAGCTCCAGCTGCCTTCCCGGGGCAGCGGGCATCCCGTGCATCACGTCCTCTACAGAGAAGGGAAACATTGTGAGGAAACTCAATCCAGGTACTGATTTAGCCAAAGGAGCACTATCATCCTTAAGAAAGTTGATATGTGAGTTAGGCCAGCTCAGACCCTGACACCTCTGCAGACTGGGGGCGAGTGTCCTGGGTCCCATTCATCAGGCCTCCTGTCCACCCAGAAACGGAGGAAGGCCCGAGATTCTACAACTCTGAATGCTGCCAAAACTGCCACTGGTCCCTCCTGGGAAGCCACCCAGGCTGTTGCTGAGCCCCGCTCTACCTGGGACTGAAGACACAGGGCAGGTGGGGACAAGACCAGCCTGCTCCTTGTGCCCGCTCCCAGGTCAGGCCAGAGAAACAGAACCACAGCACCGCAGCCCAAGGGCCTGGCCACAGTGAAGGGAGCAGGGGTGAACACTCCCTGCCTGAACTAAAAGGCTGCCTAGGCCAGGCCAGTAGCTAGGCAACAGGCTCCCACAATCAGCTCAGTTCACTTCCCGTTGGTATCTGGTTTGCTCCTGTCATAATGCACTACTCAAACCAGATGCTGTGTTCCAAGAGATGCCGGGGGCAGAGCCCTGCTCCTGGGCCCTGTTGGCCCTCAGTGAGGCTCCTGAGGCCGCGGGTGCAGTGCTTCAGGCCCCTGCCAGGGAAGGTATGCAGAGACCCAGGTGTCAGAGGGGAAGGGCACAGCCCCAGAACCCCGGAACCTCACATGGGCCAGATGAGGGGTAAGAGAATAAGTGTTGCTTCTGATGTCACTGTCTGCTCCCAGGTTTGCTGTCATCCACAGGAAGTGCAGCCCCTCAGAACACTTCCCAGGCCAGAGAAAGAAATGAACCACCTTTCCACCTCAAAAACAGCCTCTTTCAGTGGATTAAAGATGTTGTAATGGGAGGAGTGGGGACTTGGGGGTTGGGGAGCCTTGGCTTTGACTCACAGCCCGCCACTATCTGGATCTCAGACAAGTTATTTACCCTCCCACAGCCTCAATCTAGTAAATGAGGATAATACTGCCACTGTAAATTTACCAGGAGGATTAAACATTAGTGCAAAGTATATGCATGGAGTGCTCAATAAACAGCAGTTATTAATAACTAATTTTTTAAAATCCTGCATTTTCACTTGAGTCCCAGGAACAGCAGAAGGCTTGCTTTTGCCTGGACTCCTTGGCAGGAGGCAAGTGCCCTTTGGCAGGGGTGCCACCAAAGTCCCAGAAAGCTGCATACATCAGTCTCAGTAACCAGAAGGCTGGAAACTCAACTCGGGGTGGGTTGCTGGCTCTGCTATTAGTTCACTGTCTTTAACAAGACACTTACTGGCTCCGAATCTGGTTTCTGCACTGCTTCAATGGGGAGCATGAATCCTGCCTGGCCCTAAACTTCCAGCCTCACCTGGAATGACCTGACTGATGTGGCTTTACACCAAAAGGGCAAAGGATGTTGGGCTCCTGGAGGACTTACTCAGAGTCCCCTGGCTGGACCGCTCTTTGGTGAGTTGAAGAGAAAATAAACTCATTGATGGCAGGGCCCTTTGGAATCCAAGAGGGAAAAACCTGAGAAAGTGAAAAGTCTCCAGAGACCCTAGAATGCTCAGGAGTAGGGCCTAGCTCCCAACCGCCTCCCCCATTCCCGCCTCCCATCTCTATTCAACCTAAATCTGCCTCCTGCTCCCCGGCCCCTCACTTTGTGAGAGCTTGAATTATCTGTACTTGTCTCTCCCCTGCTAGTACACAGCCAAGAGCTGACACTAGCAGGGTTAGGGAACTGCACTGAGGCCCATGGAACTCACAGCAGACCCAGGCTGGGGACATGACTGTGCCCTACCTTCTGAGTTGGTCTGGGGCTGCAGGGGAAGGAACAAGGGCAGGTGACCCTAGCTTCACTCTCAGTCCTGAAGAAGGTCCCAGCCTTCCAGGGGCCGCCCTGGGAGGCCTACAGCCCCAGCCTGGAATGCCAGGGCCACTGATATCTCTGCTCCTCTCTTCTCTTCCAGGCAGAAGATCCATCTATCTTGGCCTAACAGTCCAGCCTGACCTCTCCCTGTAGCCCCATTTCCCCATCTCCTGCCCGCCCCTGGAAGGAGTGTGGAAGGGAACTTTTCCTTCCATGACCAGGTTGAGGCTCAGCACAGAAGGTGCTGGGGAGGGCAGCAGGGCTCTGAGACTCATTAGCATGACAACTTGGGATGCCAGAGGGGACAGGACCAGCTTGTCCAGACCCAACACATCGTGTCCCAGACAGACCCCAGCCAGGCTTCAGGCTGCCAGCCATGAGATCAGACCATAGTTGTAGTTTAGCTGCCCAAGCATATCTCCCCCATCATCCCCTTCCACCTAAGGGGTTTAGAGAAACTGGACTGACTTGGGGAGGGGGTTGTGGGAAGGGACTAAGCCACCCCCAACCACCCCATACACCCATTTTGAGCAGCACCCTGAACCAGGGCTTTCTGGGAAGCCTAGAGGTGCTGTAGCAGGAAGAAGTGGCAACAAATCTGGGCTCATCACCAGGAAGCCTGTGGCTGGCCACTGGCTGTGGGAGCCTGCGGGGCCCAGGTATCAGGTCCTTCCTGTCTAACTCTCCTTTCACCCCAGCTGAGGCCGGGCATCCCAGGTGCCCAAGAAGCCTTAGGGGCATGGTATAGGGCGGGCATCTTGTCACTCTGAAAAGAGGCCTATCGCAAACCAGGTCCACAGGTGTGAGTATGGTCCAAGATCTCCCTTTTATGAGCAAAAGAGGCCAAAGCTGGTGTCCCCCTCTCTAAAATTCCTAGTTCCCAGCACTCTGATTTGCTGGAGGATTTAAATGAGGTGGACTACCTGGAGGCAGCTAACCAAGGCCTACCACAGAATAGGTGTTTAACACTCTTGTTTTCTTCCCCGAAACCCTGCCTGACCCAAGCAGAAGGCCTCACTGCAGTTCTCCAGGACCCTGACCCTGTGGAGGAGTGGGGGTTGGAAGAACTCAGTTAGGGGCACCCCACTCGCTAGAAGGGAATGCAGCAAAGCAGGCTGTTTCAAGAAGTAAGTCAAGTGTGTGCAGTCTACTGATGAGGTATGCAGGGGAGACGTGTGTGTGTGTGTGTGTGTGAGAGAGAGAGAGAGAGAGAGAGAGAGCGAGCGCGAGAGAGAGATCCCTGTGGGGCCATGGAAGGCAGGGGAAATTGGGAGGGAAGCAGTGGAAAGGAAAGTCGGTTTTGATGAAGCTCCTCCCTGCCCCTACCCGCCACTATGTGCCCCCTTGCAGACCTGAGAGATGACCCAGGCTCCTGCCACTCACCCTGGCCGCCCTGGAGGAATAGGGATCCTCGAAGAGTGCCCACATGCGGGGTTGCCAGCCACGGCAGCCGCCGGACCCAGCGCCAGGGCCCGCGCCTCCCTCGTGGGGCCCCAGACGCTGCAGGGCCAGCTCCCGCTCGTCGTCGCCGGCCTCATCACCGGGCCCCGCTCCACCGCCGCCTCCGTCGGGGTTCTCGAAGATGTCCAGCGCCTCCTCGGCGTCGCGGTGCTGCCGGTACGTCATCCAGCAGCAGGGCTCCACGTCGGTCTCGTCGATGCCCCAGAAGGTGAGCTCCTCCTCGAAGAGCGGCCCGCACACGTCAGCGGGGCAGTGCAGCTTGCCGGTTCGGTAGTAGTTGAGCACGTACGCAAAGACGCCCGGGTGCCGGTCGAAGAAGAACTCGCAGCCCCCACCGCCGCTGCTGCCGCTGCTGCCCGCGCCGCCGCCATCGGGCTCGTGCCTGCCCCCGCCGTCCGGATCAGCCAGCCAGGCGAGGCGGGTGCCCGGTAGGGTGCGCAGGGTGCTGCGGTAGGTCTCATGTCGCGTGCCGCCCACGTTGATGATGATCTTCTCCGACGCCTCGCCCTTGGCCATCTCCTCCTTCAGACATGTTTTGGATGGAGGCTTGTTCCCCGACTTGCGCCCGCGGTAGGAGGAGACACACACCGAGCTGATCATAAGAAGCGCTGCGGGGCTTCGGCTTGGGGCGGCCGCTGCCCTCCAAACACCCTTCCCGAGGAGGCAGCGTCAGACGGGGGAGGGGGAGGAGACGACAAGGAGGCAGGAGGCGGCGGCCCCCTCTGCGGCGGTGGCCCTGCCCCTGCCTCCCCACAGGGCGCGGAGCCGGAGGAGTTGGGTTTCTCCGGTGCACAGGTGGTTGGGGTTTGGGCACGCAGCGCCGGGGAGGGAGGCAGGAGGAGGGAAGAAGGGCCAAGAACCCCAGCGAAGGGCCAGAGGGGTGGGGGGCGGAGCAGGAGCAAGCACACACACAGTCCCCAGCGAGGACTGGACGCTCAGACGCTCTGGGCCCGGGGCACTCCTCCCCTTTACCCAGCGAAAGACGAGGAGGCTCACAGTCCAGGAGCAGTGCGAGGCTCCGGGGCGCGCGCGCTCACACTCACACGGGCCGCTGAGCCCCGGGAGCGGCCGGCTTCCCCACGGTAGCGGCGGCGGTGCAGCAGCAACAAGTCCTCCAAGCGGCCCCAGGGGCCGGGACGAGGCTCTCACGGCAGCCGGAGCTCCGCGGGCCCGGGCTCCGTGCGGTCAACACGACGCGGCGGCGGCGGCATGGGGCCTCTTATCCCCATTCATAAATCCAGCGCCGGGCACCGATGGCGGGCGGGGTTGAACCGAGTGCGGCGATCTGGCGGGCTGGGGCTGTGCAGGGCGAGGCGGCCGCAGAAAAACAAGCGCGCCCGCAGGAGCGAGCCTCCCGTCCTGCGTCCGCGGCTCGGCAGCGGCTGGACGCTGCGCGGCGGGGGCTGCGCTGGGGCAGAGGGGGCCTCAGACGGGGCGTCCTGCGCTGCGCCGATCCCGGGAGGCGGGGCTGCTCCGGTGAGCGGGGCTCTGGGCACCCGCGAAGGAGTCTCCCGGGCGGCGGACGGGCGGCCAAGGACACCTGCAGGCTTCCCAGGCTGCGCCTAGCGGGAGCCTCAGCGCAGCGCCCCAGCACCGGGCTCCAGCGATCTGGCGGTGTTGGGAGCCACGCCATCCACGCGTCTGCCCATCTCCGGGCGGGGCGCCGGCCTTGGCTCGCTGCAGGGGGCGGGCAAGAGGTGGCTTAAGGCAGGAGAAGGGGGGCGCCGCGGCGCCGGGGGGCTGGGGCTCCAGGGACTCTTCGTCTCCCTCCGGCGATGCTACCGGACACCACTCTCCAGTGGCGCCTTTTCTTCTAGGCCCCGCCTCGACCGGGCGCGCCCTCCGCTGGGCGGGGTGGGCGGGGCGCGGCGCGGGGCCGACCGGGCTCGCTGCAGGGCCCCAGCGGCCCAGATCTCAGCCTCTCTCCGCCTCGCCGAGTCCAGCCGAGGCGCGTAACCCTCTCGCCGCCAGCGCCCAGCCGAGCGCGCCACCCTGCGCGCCTCCGCCACCTTCCCTTCTCGCCCCCCTCCGCCCGGCTCTCTGCCTCCTCGGACCCCGCAGCTCCTCCCACTGCAGCCCGGGTGACCGCCAAGCGCTCTCCAACCCTGACCTCTAACCTCCGCTCGCCCTTCTGGCTGCTTCGGTTGTTCCCTCCCCGCCAAATGGTCGCATTGTTGCGGTTTCATTGCAGCTGACTGGAGGCAGAGGAAGAAAGCGAGTGGAGAGGCGATGTGTCGAGGAGGAGGCAGCCCCCTCCAGACAGTGTTGGGGCCTCCTGACCAACCCGCCCCCATCCTGCGCCTTCCAGGCCCAACAGGCCCCAGATGCCCGTGGTCTTGATCCTTACCGTGTCTGTCACACACTCATCGAAGCCCCCGTGGTGGAATGGGTGACCCACCTGGCTCCTGGTATGGGTGGAAGGGAACTGGAGTCCTGGTGGTGTTATGGGTGTTAGGTGGGTGGACCTAAAAGATCATTAAGTTAAGCCAAGGCTCATAGTTGCCTGGGGACACAGAGAAAGTGCCTGGTCCTGCCTTGTGAGCCCCCTCCTGGTTCTGTTGTTTCACTCATGGCAATTTGACTTTGCCCTTTTTACGCCTTATCCACCTCTCTGACCCTGAGCTCTTCCAGGCATTGCTTTTTCATCTTGATAGCTCCCACAGTGCCTGCCTCTGAGAACTTGTTTGCTAAGTGATTGAGAAGCTGCCATGCCCAAAACATTAGGCATTGACCGACTTTGCTGGCCTCATCCCAAGAGCAATTTCCAGATTCATTTGTTGTTATTTGTTTTTAAGTCCAGAACCTCTTCTACATTTTTAGCCTCATTTTTTAAAAACAGTTTCAGAGAGCCTCTATATCCGTCTGGATGATGTAAGGAGGTCATTAAGGCAGAAATGCAAGGTGATTGACACACCTGCCCTGGACACTTGTGCACCATTGATTTACAGATTAGGAGTACCTGGTGATACTGGGACAAACAAGACAAGGGCCTGGGAGTGCTCTGAAGAAAGGTTAAAAAAAAAGCCCAGTGCAAATTCAAGGGATTCTTATAAGCAAAAGTCTCATTAATAATGAATTCAGAAAACCAAAATGGCAATCATCTTTGATGATATCTATATACTAATATGCAGAGGAGGTAGGTACCATCTGGACTGTAATCAGACACACAATGTTACTGGCACCCCTTTTGTGTCTAGTCCCCCCATCCCTTGGACCTGATGTCTGCATTTGAGAGTTTAGGTGGCTTTGAGTTTGCTGCAGCAAAAAAAGAAAAATCTCAAATGTGACGGGGAAGAGAACACCCAGAGCTGGCCAGGAGCTGGAGTGTGGATGGAAAAACCATAGACTATATGAATGGCTGTCAGTCCTATCTGGTTGGGTACTGGCAAACTCCCTTGGGATCTCTCCCCCCGCTTTCTGTTCTTTAAGCTGCTCGAACTCAGTCATTCTAAGGAAGGGAGAGGTTGGTGGGAGAGGTGAAAACCCATCCTACTCCTGAGTCATTTGTTCATTTAATTAGTATTTCTTGAATGCCTACTGTGTACCAGAAGCTGTTCTAGTCACAGAAATCAATCAATAAAACAGCCCCGCCCCCATCCTTGCCCTGGTGAATCTCTGCCCTCTTGTTGTTCCCATTCTGGGCTGTTTTCCCATGGTGATAGGCCTGTGGGGACATGGGTGGAGGGAGAAAGCTGCCAGGGAAAAAGGAGGCCTGGAGAGGAGATCAGAAGGCTGGGGTTGAGGGTAAGGAATCCAGGAAGGAAACCAGCGGGCCCAGCCTGGGAGACGCAGCAGGATGGAGGTGCCCTGGGTGGGAGGGCCTCTGACTCAGTGCACTGAGGAGCTCCTGGATTGGGGAGCTCAGCCTCAGGCCACCACCCTCCAGAAAAGGCCTCACCACTTTCTGAAGGTTTTATTCTAGAGCTGTGGGCTAACCTGTTACCTGGGCCTTTCTGGAATTTTGGGGGAATTCAGTGTGCTGCAGTTTGTCCCCATCAGTTCTGTGTGTATGATGTCATGCTATTTCCCCAAAGCACAAAACCCAGGAAGGGGAGGAGAGCCCCCTGTTTGCCTGCAGTGAGTCTACTGTGGATGGGAGGGTGCTGCCCCCTGGTGGTGCTAGGAGACCCTGAACCAGACCTCACCTCAGCTCTTGGCTGTGGTGATGAGAAAAATGGGCTAATGGGCTGGGGTGACAACTGGCTCTGGACTTCCTGTCAATTCCAGGACCTCATGTATCTCTGGCAGCATAACTGTCCCATCTGGGACTTTGCCTGCTCCTTCACTTTCCATTTCTCCAAGACCCGATAACCAACAGGCACAGTTGGAAATTCCTAAATCTGCAAGTTTCTTTTCCTCCATTATCACCTTTTCTCCACCTTTGTTTCCTGGGTCCTGTGGTATCTTCTGGCTGACGGGAATGAACATCTGTCTAGGGGCCAGTTTAGGCTGAGGTGTCAGCCACAGTAGGCTTCTCTCACCAGGAATAAAAGTATGGAAAAGAAGTTTTGATTCTAGAGCAACACTGATGGGGGCTTTTAAGCAGCTGTAGCTTTTCTAGAGGCCGTCAAATAAGGCCCTTGTTCTCAGAACCGAGACTGAGCCCACCATGGGGGAAGCTTGAGGGCCTGATAGCAACGCCATTTTCCCTTCCCCTGTCCCTGTGGGAGCTTGGTGTGGGGCTCAGCTGCTTTGGGGTGACAGAAGCCATTCAATCTCTTTTTTGGAATCTGCTTGTTTTGAGGGGCTCCAGGCCCAGGAGCAGGACCCATGGCTGCCAAGGCAAGGTCCTATTTGTTGCCACTACCTCCCCCTATTGGTATTCTAGCTCCTGCCAGGAACCAACCCCTTCTCCCTCAGGTCCAAGTCAAGGAGCCAGCATCCTTTCCCAGCCTGCCCTGCTCTCCAGCCTGGTTAATTGGATTGCTTTATCAGCCATCATCACGGAGGGGAGGGTGATAGGGCCTTTCCCCTCAAGGAAAGAGAAGAGAACAGAGGGTGAGAGGAGGCTGCAAGCTTCCAGTGTGCTTATCAGTTGATTTAACTCTGCCTCCCACCCCCACCCCCAGGCAGCCTGCAGAGACGTGCAGGCTCCAAATCAGACGCGGAGAGCCTTCCGGGGAGGGGCCTGGGGACCCAGCCTAGAGGACAGCCCACAGGCCTGTGAAAGTCAACTAGTATGGCTCTGCATAAGGGCTGAAGGCAGGGTTTGGGTTGCTGTGAGAATCCTAGTGAAGGTGCATTTGGGGCTCTGGTGAACTCCAAAGATGGCCTTTGATGGCCCAGCTTTTAAAGGACCAAAAGGGTGCAGGCCACAAGCTCAGGCCTACCCAGGACTCAGAGCCTCATAAACCATGGACTTGGAATCAAAGGACTGTAAGGGACCTGAGTGCCAGCTCACAGGCACAGTCTCCTTGAGAGACTTCAGGCCTAAGGAGCAGCAGTAAGCTCTGGGAGACCGAGCTGGGCCTGGGACTGGGCCCAGGGCAGAGAATGATATAGGGGCCCTTGTAGCCTCTGCATGCAGAACAGTGTTCATGGAAATCACAGGACTAGGGCCAGCTAAGTGACCCCCAGAGTCCTCCTTGCTCAAAGCTGCTGGGGTAGAGACCCACCCAGCCTATGGCCAGAGAGCATGCATGCACAGACATTAGCTCAGGGCCCAATTGGCAAGACTGGTTGGTACTCAGCAGGTCTCCATCTAGAAAAGTACAGATTCCTTCCACCTGGGCTAAATTCCAGCAAAACTGTCATTCCATTAGAATAGTTCATTAGTCCTGATGGACCCGGTGTCCTGCAAATGCACAGCTTCTCCAGCCTGGCAGTCTCAGGGTAGCTGCACTTCTTACATGGCAGCTGGGTAATCCCAGAACCAGTGCCCCTAGAACACCTCAAATGTCACAGAACATCACTTCTGCCATACTCTTGGTCAAAGGAGGCCTTTGCTCACCCATATTCAAGGAGGACATGCAGGATCAGTGAGACCCACAATCTGATACTCCCTTTCCTGGAAATGCTGCCTTCTCTTGCCTCCTTCCATGGCTTCTTTGGGTTTTAGACTGAAACAGTCCTTTCTGGGAGAAGTCTCGTTGCATGGGTGAT